TGTGTGTGTGTGTGTGTGTGTGTGTGTGTGTGTGTGTGTGTGTGTGTTGGTGGGGTGAGGGAAGTAGAAGGTTGTTTAAAGTATAAAAAACTGGAAAGGTTGGAAGGGAGGAGTGATGTTTGTCATAAAAGGTTTTAAATGTCAAACAGATTTTTCTATTTGATCCTGGAGATTATAGAGAACCACTGAAGTTTATTACGTAAGGTAGTGTTGGTGCTGAAATGGTCAGACTTTAGAAAAATAATTTTGGCAGTTATGTTGGGGTTTGGTTGGAACAGGGAGAGACTGAACAGAAAAGCTAATTAGAAGGCTATTGCAATAGTCCAAGTGACAGGTGTTGAGCACCTAAACTAAGAGATGAGGTGTTTGAAATGACAAAATCTGGAAACTTATTGAACCTATAAGAGGAATCAAAGATTGCAAACCTGGGTGATTGGGAGCATGGTGGTGCCTTTGACAGTAATTGGGACATATTGATTTTGAGATGTTTATAGAATATCCAGTTTGAGATGTCTAAAAGAGAGTTGAGACTGGAGTCCAGAAGAATGAACAAACTTTGAGGACAGGGACTGTTTTTGCTTTTCTTATTTCCCCAGTTGTTATCAGTGCCTGGTACATACATACCTCTTAAAATTGACTTGTTGATTGACTTACAAACTGACTGACTTGTTGTTTTGTTGAATTTAATATTCAGTTATTTTAAAAATTATGTATATGTATATATATATACACATACATATATTTAAGTGGTTCATGGACTTAGTTAATATTTTGTTTTGTTTTTTATCAACAGAGAAATTGTATTATACACTTAAATACAGAAGGAAATAAATGACAACAGTCTCTTGTTTTGTCATAGGTTTTCTTATGCAACATTCAGTGATTCCAACATCATTTCAATTGTGGTGGACAAAGCTATCTATGTAGCTAAGAAAAACAGCCATTTTGTTGAAGTATGGGATAAGAAGACGGAGAAACTTTGTGTACTAATAGACTGTGTACAGTTTTTAAAGTAATTTTCATTTTAAAAATGTCATGTTTTTAAGAATAAGTATCCTTTGGAAGCACTGTCTAGTGTCACATAGCTCACATATAGGCAAGATAAAAAAGAGAATGTCATATTCTTGAACCTTTTGAACACTAAATATTATTTTAGGCATATACTGGATTTTATACCAATAAAGTAAAATCCTTTTACCTGTTGGTATCACAGATTGTTCAATAACCACTTTAACAGAGCATTTTCCATATTCTTTTTGGGATCTGACCTGTGAAATAACCAAATTCATGACATATTGAGTCATTTCATGATGAGTTGCTGTTGTATATCACTTTAAAAACGTTTTCTTCTTAATCACTGTTTCTTTCCTTGAAGATGTGAAGAATTGGCAGATACAGAAGTTCCAGTGTTTCTGTATCTTCTATTTTAAAATAATATGTAAAATTATCCTTTTTTTTCTTTCATTTCATCATTTGACTTTATCATGAAAGAGATTTTACATTGGTTCAAGACAGAATTTAAAAGGTTTATGTTGCTTTTTAATAAGTTACCTAAATGACCATGAAAAATGCCTTTTTAAAGACTTTTTGGAGGCTTTTAAAAACTATACTTTGAAGTTTCCTCTTGTTTTTTCATTAAATATTCCCTGCTCAGATAGTGAAGCCTATTGCTCTTCGGCATTCTGCATTTATATAAAGTAGTTTAGAAACCTTTAGAAAGTTAACACAGTTTAGATACGAAAATTGCAATGTCTGAACCATTGATGAAACTTTTGTTCATATTTTCAGGGAGCATACAGTAATATTAAGCAAGGAATCAAAACATGAAATGGCTTATTCTGGAAGAGTGAAAACCCTCTGTCTACAGAAAAATGCGGCACTCTGGATAGGTACAGGAGGAGGTCACATTTTACTGGTTGATCTTTCAACACATCGCATCATACACATAATTCAGAACTTTTGTAATTCTATTAGAGCACTGATGACAGTCCAATTGGGTAAGTTGAATTCCTTTCTCTTTTACTCCAAGACAAAAAATAATTAAATTTTCTATACTTAATCTATATGTTTAAAAATTAAATGTAATATAAAAATAGGATAAATAGATACCAAAAAAGAGCAGAGACCATGTAACTAAAAAAAGAGTAAATGCTGGCAGACATTTGAGATTAATTTAATACTATATGTAGTAACCAAATTTGCCTCTAAGTTTCCTGTTAGCAAAAAAAAAAGAGAGAGAGAATATTCTAATTTGTAGTTTTAACCTTCTTGCCAAAAAAAAAAAAAAGCCTACATATTCATCCGCAGAGCCAAACTTTCTTAGAACTGTAATCACACAAAAATTTACTAAGTGCATCTTTTGACTCCAAATCCAGTGTTTTTTCTGTTATAACAGACTTTCTCACACTCAGCTCTGGCAACCTAGCTCCCAGTTAATTGCCATTACTATAGGTAATTGCTATGCTATGCTGTGCTTTCATTGTTCATTATAGTTTTAAACGTCTATCATCATGGAAAACATTGGACTTTGACTCAGAAGAGCTGGATTCCAGCAACCTGAACAGAAGTGGCTCTGAAGGACTTTCTCATATGCTATAATAATTATTCACATTCATAGAAAGCTTTGTAGTTAACAAAGCATTTTCCTCACAACAACCCTATGAATTAGGTAATACAAGTAGTATACTCATTTTGCAAATGCAAACTGAGATTTAGGTGACTTGCTCATGGTCATATAGCTAATAAGTATAAGAGCTGAGAATCATACCCAGGTTTCCTTAAAACAATTTTGGCTCTTTTTCTACTGCACCATGCATCTTTGTCATAAGAGCCCTGGGAGAGGGATTGGGATTAAACTTTTAATTTTATTGATATAGGGGATTCCTAGGTGAGGAAACTCCCTCCAGAAGTAGTGGTATCACCTTCTCTGCAACTTGCTATCTTATAGAGTTGCCTAGATCATTGAGAGATTAAGTGACTTGCCCAAAGTAACATAGCTATTCTCAGTCAGGGGGCCGGCTTGAACTCTGGTCTTCCTGTCTTCAAGGCCAGCTCTTTATCCACTGTACTCAAGTGCTTTTATCTACTACACAAGGCAAGAGAAGTATTATTACACCTATTTTAACGTAAAGAAACACCCTCAAAGTTTCAATAATTTGCCCATAATCCCTTTACTAACAAATGGCAGAGCATTACTTTTCATTTTACAAACAATCTTTTGGTAATACATCTATTTTACTGACAAAGGTGCATCTGTTGTTTATATATTTTCAGGTGATAGTCATAATGATAGGTTTTTTCAATTATATTTTTCACCTTAGGATTTGTCTATTATCCTTATACAGAGACAATCGTGCTTACATCTCTGTTGGAGTGGTACTTAAAAACTGGAATTATAAATTTGTGTCCCAGGAATCTGCGTCTAAAATGTGCTTTCTGCTATGTGTAAAGAAATTATATTTTTTGTTTAATTACAGGAATGATTTTAGCAGGCATTTGATTTCTTATTTTCTTTTTTGTAAAGGAAGCCTAAAACATGTCATGCTGGTTTTGGGGTACTGCCAGAAAAGTCATGAAAGTACTCAGGCCCAAAAAGGTAAGGTCCAATTGAAAAATAAGTGCTCTATTCAGAGCTGTAACAACAAATTCTTTTACCTTGGACAAAAATTGTGTGTGTGTGTGTGTGTGTGTGTGTGTGTGTGTGTGTGTGTGTGT